TCTTAATTGTTTTAAACCATGTTAGAGTCAGAAGTCTTAGGGGCCCATCTGAAGGTAGGCAAAAGAATAGAGGGGTATTTATTCTGCTTTGCTGCATATGCAGCACGAAGTGCAAAGTGCGAGGTCGCAGGGGATGGCCAGCGGCTCCCCTGACACTCTGGCAGAACATTAATTGGACCCGGAGTGGCTTCTTTAGAAGAGGACCTGCACCCTGTTGATGCTCCGAGGAGCCTGCACGTCCCAGGGAGGTGCCTCCCTGTTCAGAGAAGTCCAGTGGCCATGGAATGGCCCCCACGAAAGTCTTTGCCCTCAACCAGGTAGGCAGCTCTTTCACTCTTACAAATCAGCGCTTGCCTCTCACGCAGCTGGACTGCTGCTGTGTTCTCCTTATGCCATGTGGTTGTCTTTACTGTCCTTAATAAACTCATCTTTGATTTACTATAATTGGACACAAAGCGTTCTGTGGTTAACAGGAGGCCAGCAGAGATAAGCTGGTCAATTCTGGGCTAATGACTCCCTGGAGGCAGTGATCTTTTTTCTTCTCCAGGCAGGCAGTTGTCAGAGATCCCCACGGAATAATCTCTGGCGGTGATGGAGGTCACTAGTCAAGAGACAGTAGCCGCTAGGCCTTGAGGGCTGCTCCCAGAGCTACCTTTCTCATGGCAGGTCCCGCAGGTCCCACCACGCTCAGAGAAATTGGCCACATCCCTGAGAGCTTCCTTGAACAATGTTCTCGTGGAGGAGTGGGCAGACAGCGACCCGAGTTGCCCAAAAGCCACCCAGAGTTCAGAGTGCACTTGGGAAATGGTGGTAGAGCCCAGCACGCCATCAAAGAAAGATGGAGAAGGGAGAAGCAAAGGCTGCCTTGTTGGGTGGGCCAGGGGGACCGAATTGAATGCAGCCAGAGGGGAGGTGGAGAAAGGATGTAGATCCAAAGGGGTCAAGGGACGCAGCAGGGGTAGGAGGCAGGGATGACAGCCTAGTTGAGCAAAGAGCACCAGGAAAGGAGCAGATCAGAAAAAGAGACACGCGCAGAGAGAAGCTCTTTTGACATGGATCAGAGGTGGACCTGGTAGAGTTCAAAACTCCTCATTGTTCTGGAGTATCACTTTAGCCCCAGAATAGATCCTCAAATCTGTCTCTGTGGTCTGATAAAGAGATCCACCACTCCCAAAGCATAAAACATGGGTCCCTTATGAGTCCCCCCAAACTGTTGCTGAATCATAGATGTCCTGTTCATCTACAGATGTCATCTGTAATTGATGGATTACAGAGATTCATGGAAACCATTGTGGTGGATTTATTTTTGGTGAAATGGTAATGCTGGTAACTGCGGGATCTGATTTCTCATGAGTGTACTGCAGACACTGAAGCAAGCTTTAATCTAATTATGCTTGGGGGAAGGGTCCTAGATCTGTGGAATTTCAAGAGCACTTACTGTAACTCTGGTTAACTAGTCCAACCAGCCCTGCTGCCCAGTAGCTATTTTGGCGATTCTGGTTCTGCTCCACAGCTGTACAGATTAATCCTGTGCCACATTTCTCAGTCTTGGAACTTCTTTCAGAGCTCCAGATATGGCCATTGTGGGCCCTGGTGCTGAGACTCACACATGCTAGTTGGTCAACGTAGTCAAATGAGTGCTTAAGGAGCACTGCTAAGGAGAGAGGGGTTTTCAGTAGTTGTGCCACACAGGTGGGAGGCCAACTATTGGAGCAGTCGTTGTGTCATTTTCAGCACAAACTGTTGAATTAGTGCTTCTGAGGTGTTGAACTTGCTATATTCTTATTTCGATATTGGTTTTGCTTTTATTTGTATGTGCTTTAAAAAATTTTCTGCATATTACAAGAAAACCTGCTGGGGGCTACACAGATGTTATAGATAAATACATATTTGTTCATCCTCCGTTGAGATAACAGTCTAGATAGAGAAGCCCACTTCTGCTACTGACTGCAACTCTTTGAAAATCAGTACAGTCACTGTTTTCATGAATAGGGCCCTATCTATCTTGGCCCAGTGGCCCCAAAATTTAGGAACTCCAGATCTCCCTCCTCTAGCAACCTAAACATGCATTTGCTCAATCTGTCTGTGGTAATTTAAGTCACCATTCTTATACCACGGCCTGCTTGTATTAATCCTCCTGTGGAAGAGCCAGCCCCTCTGAGATTTCTAGTCTGACTCAGTGCTCTATGTCATTGGGAGAATGACCCGTGCCCTTCCTAGGGCAGAGCTTTCACCTAGCTTTTGCTGCTGTCCAGGTTTCTGAGATGCCTACAATATTTACATTGTCCTTGGGAGCTTGGTTTTCTCTTTCTTTGGCTCAGAGACTTATAAACTCTGGAGTGCACTGCCTCTGTCCAAAGATCTTTGGTGCTCTGTGCATTTTCTGTTTCACTAGCTCTTTGCCTAGTTCCTCTCAGGGTCTCATCTGGTCAGGGGTAGAAGCTGACACTTTGATTCCCTAGAGATGATTCTCCCCAAATTAGATACACCTCAGTTCCAGAGGTGATTCAGGGAAAGGGAATGTCATCCTTGCAAAAAGGCCTGGAACAATTAGGAGGGCAAAATCTATTCTCCCCTCATCATGGGGGAAGTATCTGAGAGTAGACTCCCATCTGTCTTTCCTGCCTCTTTCTAGACTTTGTCAGAAGAGGCCATCAAGGACGAAGAGAGTTATGGCTAAGTCTTTCCTGAGTTACCTTGCAGGTGTCCAATTGCAATAGCTTACCTGGAAGGGACCTGCCATATGGTTTTGTGTGAACACAAAGGAAATATAACCCCCAGTGAGGATCACTGGCAGTGATGGTGACTTGTTCTTCCATCTGTGCCTGACACAGAATCCCATTAGGTTCTTGGAGCAGAATAAATGACTATTTGTAAAGAACTTTTTAGCACGGGAGGGAGGCAGAAGGTGTTGGCCCTCCACAACACATATTTCTCTAGATATAATCCCATGAGATTTACAGCTCAAACACTCCACAGAGGCTGGGGCAGATGGTCTCTCTTCAGGAGGGCAGGGGATTAATTATTTTCTTCCAAAACAAACAAAAAGCTGCGTTTAATTTGCAGAAGCCGAAATAATATGATTGAAATTGATTTTTTTTGTTTTGTGCCAAATTCTCATAGATGGCAGCGTTCAAATGGCTCCCCATAGTTAATGCACCACACGATGGAGAGCTGATCACGTGTACGGGTACAGCTGAGCCGCCTTCCCAAGGTGGGGTCCGGTGTTCTTTGCTCAGTGGAGGCTTGTGGTGAACTGCAGGCAGGGTGCAGTTCTGCTGTTTAAGGAGGAATCCTGCCAGGCTGGTTTTAACTCTTTTTGAATTTCCTGAAAGCCCATGGAGAATGAGCTTCCCAGGCAGAAGAGAAGGTTAAGGCAAATGTTAAGACTTTTTCTCACTAGGTGAAGATGACATGCTCTCCACCCATCCTTGAGCTGGCACAAATATAGACCAGCATAAAAGTTGTTGTCCCGTTGCCAATGCCTATCCTGTCTCTGTTGCCTCTTTCTGAGTCTGTGGCCTTGTCCGGATCTGTGAGCATGCCAATTTCTCCTCTGGCTTTGCTGCTTGCCCCCCACCCCGTCAGTAAAGAAGAGACCCACTGGTCTGGACACAGCAGGAATGGGGAGGGTCGAGCTTGGGGACCCTGCCTCGGCTTCTCTAGGCCGGTTGCCTGGCCCTCCGGCCACAGACCCTCGGGGTAACCGGCTAGGTCCTGTAGAGCAGGAGAACTGCAACTGACCAGCTGCGGACAACCAGATCTCTGGCTTCAGGGGAGCGGGAGAACGGACTGAAACTGACAGGCAGAGGGACACCGGCAGATCAGCAGCAGAGCCCAGTCCCCCCCGCCCCCCGCTCTCCCAACACAGCAACAAGCAATCACAGAGCCGCGACATCGAAAAGCGAAGATGCATTTCAGGGCCTGCGGAAGTGAAATGGCCCTAATATGGTCCCGCTTCTTCCCCAGTGAAATAGTGGAACTCTACGGTCCTCTCCTCTCCCGAGTTGGGGTCAAAAATGGGGGGGGGGGGGCAGTAGGCCTCCGGAAACCAAGGGCTGATGGGAAAGGGCAGGGCCAGAAGAGAAATGGCTGTACACCTTGAAGCTGTGCTAGGATAGAATTGGTTTCCCAGTTGAGGGAAATGCTACTTTTAAACTAGTGCAGCTACAATCTGCACTCTGAGATTTTCTGGTGGTCTCCTATCCGAATATTAATGTGGTCTGACCCTGCTTGGCTTCTTGAGATCACCCAAGTTTAGCTAGGTGCTATTGATGATTGGAAAAATCTTAAAGACTACCTTCTATTTTCAAAACTGGGGGGGAAGAGGGGGAGCACACCATTCTCTTTGTTCCTGAATGCTAGATGAAACCTGACCTCAGTTACACCTTCTGTTAACAAATACATTCAGTCTGACCCATCTCTGCAGAGTGAGCCTTTTGCCCAGTTTTTATATTCTAGCTCATGTTTTGTTACCATCTTCCCTGATTTAGTGTTCCAGAGAAATCAAACACTCACCCACTCTCATGCCATTTTGGAAGACCTCAATCAAGATACTAGTCTTTTCACAGGTCCTACCAACACAGTTCTTCTGCCTGCCTTTTATAAAGCAAACTATGAGCCTAGGCCGACCTCTAGTGGCTGTTCGTTGAGCTGCAGCTCTTGACTTCGCACATCACTGGGGCCCTCATTCAATGTCCTGCATCTCAGAAGTAGTCTGGACTCTCTTATCAGAAGGGCTGGCACCCACCCCACCCCGGTTCAACAATGGTCATCACAGCAAAAGGTAATGTACATGAGGGACCTGGAGTGACCTTCGTTCTCCTTTACAGAGTATTGGTGTCTAGTTCTGTTTTGGTTTGGAAGTGATGGTAGGACAAGCAACATTTCAAAAAGGCATGGTATGCCTTGCTTCTTGCCAGCTTCCCAGTGCCTGTATGCTCCCATCCCACTTAGACTCACTTGGAACAGTCCAGCGTGCCCTGTGTGAGGGAGTGGGGTCAATGCCCTGTTTCCCCAGCCGAGGATTCCCAGTGACTGATCCACGGCATTGCTTGGGCTCCTAATGGGACAGGTGCCTTTTCCTCAGGTTCTGCTGTGGCTGAGGCACAGGAGAAAGTGGGGGACCAAAGAGAGAACCTGCGGTTCACTGGCCTTCACCATCCCCGCATGCATTTACCACAGCGCTGTCAGCACTTTGAGGTAGGCCAGGTCAGGAAACTACCAAGCCCAAGAACTACTGGAACTCTATTGTTACAACAGAATCCTAACTTCCTAACAGAGCTCCCCCCACCCCCCACCCCACTTAGCCAAGGCAGAACAAGTTGAGTTTCTTCCTCACCCACGCCTGGCTTTCAGGGCTGTCACACATCTTTGCCAAGGCTAGCTCTATACTCCTCTACAAGCACCATTATAGCCTGTCCACCCCCTCCCCCTCCTCAGTCACTTTAAGCTGTCCTAATCTTATCTCAAGCCCATGAATGAAATAGCCTTAAGTCATTGCAAATGAAAGAGAGAGAGGTGCTAGTCTAGCCCCACAGTTTCAAGGTGTGAAACTCTTGGGCTCCCTGACTTGTAGGGGTGATCATGTGTGTGTTTGGGGGGAATTGGAAGGAGCAAGCCAGTCCTTCCTTTCTGCGCCCCCATGCCCCAGCCATTTCTCTCCTGGCCTTGATCTTCCCCATTATTTCCTGAGTTTCTCGGGCCAACCTTGTCCCTCTGTCAGTTTCAATCCATTCCTCCCACTCCCCTGAAGCCAGAGATCTGGGTGTCCACAGATGGTCAGTTGCATTTCTCCTGCTTTGCAAAGACCTAGCCGGTTACCCCAGGGTGTGTGGCCGGAGGGGCAGGCAAGCAGCCTAGGGAAGCCCAGGCAGGGTCCCCAAGTTCGACCCTCCTCATTCCTGCTGTGTTCTGACCAGCGGGTGTCTTCTTTGGAGGGGGGGGGTAGCAAAGCCAGAGGAGAAAGCCAACCATCAATCTGGCATGCTTGCAGATCAGGATAAGACAACGGATTCAGAAAGAGGCAACAGAAGCGGGATATGCATTGGCAATGGGACTTTTTTTTTTTTTTTTATCTGCGCTCAGTCGTTACCGACTCTGCAGTGACTGCTTGGACGAGTCCTTGCAGTTTTCAAGGCAATTGTTCCAGAAGTGGTTTGCGAGAGCGTCCTTCCTAGAGCAGA